ACTAGTGAAGTATTTCTGCTCTTATATAAAAGTAAAGCAGTGTAAAAAGCAAAAATAGTACAGCTGCAAGTGGACACTATTTCATTGGGGTGTTTTTTTTTTTTTTTTTTTAACACTACAAGACTTTTCTATAAAGTAGTCACTCTAACGTGGCGACCGACCCACTACCTCAGTTTCCTGTGTAATTAACTAACAGAAGAGGGTTTGAAAAAAAAAAAAAAATGTTACAGTGCTGTTTAAATTGGAGTCATTTTAACACTAAGAAGTCCGTTTTGGTCTTGGACTGGCCGTTAGCTTCAGCCTCCAGGATCCGTTCCTGTGGATTTATACTTAATGAAGATGCTAATAGAGTTAGCTTCCACATGTACAATGTTATCTGTCATACCAGCTTGTCAATCATAGTTTTCTGATAGATGTGAAAATTTGGAAATGGTTTCTTTTCTGGTCAGTTCTGGATACGTTTAGAACAACTAAAATAAAACGTGAACTCCGTTCGATACACTTGGAAAACCCCTGAACTATCCCTTTCCGTAGTGCACATGCCTTATGTCATAATTGACCCTGTCCGTAGTGCTTCTTCTGTTGGCCTGCTGGCAAAGGTTTGATCATTGTTTCAAGCTATCAGCAGGGAGATGGAGCTGACTGGAACAAACGAGGGCGCTGCACCGTCAGAACAACAACCAAACCGAATCCTCCCCTGCTCCCCATTGCCTGAACAAGAGGAGTCGAAGTGAGATCTGCTGTATTGCACATGTGAATCCTCAAAGCTCAAATTTGTGAATGCTGCACATGACTAAATATTTCTGTGCCACTGGGCAATTTTTTATTTTTTAATGACTATTTTTTTTTGTCCTTTCCTGAGGTGTGGTGGAGGTTGCTCTTTGCATGTCGTTAGTAAAGCTATCGCCTGGACGGAAGGTGAGGATGTTAACGTCTTAAAAATTTACACTCCAGATGAACTTTTTTGCAGTCAAAAGCAGTTTTTGTACGTTTTGGCTAATATATTCACTGACCAGAGTAGCTGCTCTTCTGACCCCTGGCAGAAGCCGAACCCAGACGGAGCTCTGCGTCACTAGAGCGACATTACATTTCAGAAAAAAAGCAGATTGTGTTTTTGTATATTTATCTCTGCGAGGCATTTCAGAGGCCGACACCTGCTGCTGGTAGAGCTTACGACTGACCCGACACAGAAGCCCTTCACTGGGATTTCTGGTTTTAAACACTAATAACTCTTTCCTAATGTGACTTCTGGCAATAAAGCACACTGCTGACCGAAGCGCAGACTGTTTGCCTAAAGTAGCACGACGTATCACTCCACAGGAAGAGGCGCGTAGTGCGATTCTGAGGAATCTCAGATTTTTATCAAAATCAAATCACTTTGAGCCCTTTATTGAATTTTTTTTCCTTTCTAAATGTGACTTGAACTTCTTTTAATATGTTGTGATTAGAGGGGTTTGTCTCACATTTGTGGCTCATTAAACATAAAATGAAATGAAATTAGCTGGGTTAGACTGACTACTGTGCTACTGCAGGAGGAACCATTTCTCTAAAATCATTACCAAGTACATGCAGTTCTTCCTGTTACCGTAGACCGACCGACACAGTTAGTGCAATTTGACTTTTTCACATTGTCTGAATCCTGTTCAGATTTTAACGTTGACTTGTGCCAACTTTGACTTGTAGAATCGGGACCCAGAATTTCAAGCACAAATTTTCAATTTTTTTTATTTTTTTGTGTTATTTTGCCTTTCGTTGTTAATTAAAGGGGACCACTGTGTGACTGACTGCTGGAAAATGTTATAATTTGTCTGATATGTGGAGAACGATGGTACACGTCACTGTCCAGGTCTTGTTTGTTTGTTGTTGTTTTTTTTTTTTTGTCCTTTTTAAGTAGAATGAATTTGATGTCTTGTCAATCACACCAACCTCAGACTATTTGCTCAAACCTCTCCTCTCATTTCACCAGTTAGCCTTTCATCTTACCCAAAAAGGCACAAATGCACAAATTTCTACTGACGTACGCACTGTCACGGATTTGCTCATTTCCCCTCCACCTGTTTGTCTGCTCATGCATATGCTGCACAGTTTGCAAACATGAAGTGCTTCTTGAAGTAACTCAAGTCTGTTCATTCGTTTATGATCATCAGCAAACAATGTTTTCCTCATCCAGTCTAACATGATGTCTAGACGCCAAGGTGACTTACTTGATTTTTTTTTTTTTGTCTTTCTTTTTTTCTTTTGTGTCTTAGTCTGTTTTATGCCTAAAACTGGTAAAAAATGAAATCTAATTATTTGGCACATCATGTCTGTTATGTGAAAATAAGAAAAAAATATTTCGAAGCATTTGAGGGAATCACATATTTTGTAAAACAAACAAAAAAATCTATAACAATAAAATCAAACTGTTTCTGTATTTTGTTGAAGTTTTCTGTTTTTATGGTATTGTGGCGTTTTTTTTTTTCCTGATCAGATTAGGAGTACAGACGTACGGAAGTGTTTATTAGCAGCACAGCAGCGTCTTCTGCAATAATTGGTGGCCTTTGTGAAGAGGGTCTAAAAAAAGACTCCTTTTATTCCATCTTTTTAATGACTTTGCAGCCATGTTTTCTTGGCTTTCCCATTTTAAGGAGTCACTGTGTTAAATACTGCATTAGATTCTCAGAAACGGAAAGCCCTGGGTTAATAATTACAGTTTCTTAAACACCCTGATTCACTTGAAATAAAGGATAAAAGTTTAAAAAGATGTATACTAAAGATGTATATACATTTCCAGGAAATTGCTTTTCCCCATCAAGTAAATATACCCAAATTTATATATTTTTGCTTTTTTTTTTCAGATTGAGGTTGCTTTGAATTTGTTTTGAAATCTTTCTAGACCAGTGGGGCCAATAAGTGTGCAAGCAGCTGTGTTTTTTACAGCCATGTTAAGGTTCTGCTCTGTATGCATGCACACGCAGCAGCAGCTCTGGTTTTTTCTCAGAGGACACAGTTGGAGCGAGTTTGGGTACATGTGGTCATTGTTTCCATGAAGAGCCTCTCAGACAGAGGTGAGCCTCCCCCGGTGTGTTCGGCTGGGAAACACTGACAGGAGCTGACACGCACCCACAGAGGTCATCGTGTTGCACTCGGCCCCCTGCAGTGGTCGGGTTACCATGGGAATAGGTTATTCTGATACACGAGCTCAAGACTGTATGTACTTGGCAGCAGAAATAAGAACAGTAGCATATAATCGACATAGATTCTAACTTCAGTATGCATTTCCATAATTTTCTGTTCCATTTGGTGCGTGTATGGCGGGTTGGGATGTGTTTAAAAATAGAAGTCATGCTACATACAGTAGGTGGTTCAAAAATAGCTTTTGAGGACTGAATGTAGTTCAGGAGCTCAGCATCAGGTTGTTCCTGTTCAGATTTTGTTCGTGAAGGACGAACAGAAGGTGCATTTTCTCTCAGGACTGCGATGTCTTCTGGAAAACACTTTCAGAAAATCAATGAAAACTTCTTCTTTTTTTCTTTCCTAGGAGTGTTTGTGAGTTAGAAAAGTGCACAGCTCTACTGGCAAGGATCACTGGATCACGAAGGTGTGACAGAGAGGAGTAATGTGTTTGGGAGGTGATGTGAATACAAATCCAATCTGGCTCTGCAGCCAGACTACAGTCAGGAACACCGTGTTGAGGAGCTGGGATGTTTAAAACACATGCCAATTTCTGCTGCAGAGAGGATATGATTCACAGGACTCTGCTGTGCTGCGTGTGAATCTTATTCAACCTCAGCAGATAAATCTTGCAGAAAAGCGGTGTGATGTTCAGGTGTGGGACAAGGCCACCCATTGCTATCATTACTCATTTTTCTGCAGTGCAGGCTGTAGTCTCGCTTTTTTTCTCCTCGCATAATGAGCATTTTTTTTAATTGCTCTTAATGCTGTGCACTTTTAAAGACTGAAATGTTTCTTTGCACTACATATCGAAAGTGCAGTGTCTGTTCACATTGACTTGCAAGTCTTGCAGCAGATTAGCAATAGTATTTTTGTTCTGGACTTGAACTAGGCCACTTTAGCACACATTTTTACTTTGGTCTTAATCATTCCGTTGCAGCTGTGGGTGAGTTTGAAGTTGTTGACCTGCTGGTTCCCCCACCTTCAGCCAGTCTGTCATAGGTTTGGGAATACTTCTTAAAACAAATCTTTTCCTTTTTACAGCAAAAAGTTTGCACATTTTTTCGTGTGTTAAGTATCACAAAATGCTTTCAATCTTCGGATTGTAATGTGACGAATAAATTCAGTAGGTTTGAAACTGAACCCCGTCAAGGACGGCCGCTGCACGCTTCCTGTTGTCAAGTCAGCTTTCGCTAAAGTTTCTATACTTCTTCGAAAACTTTGTGATTCAATCCAAACATTCCAACCGGTGTGTCCACAGCGCCCTCTGTCGGCTGGTGCTTAGCAACGCATATGTCGGCTCGCCAACATGGCGGCGTCTGTGAGTCCAGAATCAAACTAGCGTCGCTTTGCCAAGACAGCGAAGGCAACTGAACGAAATAAGGTAAGAACCAGCTGCATGTGTGAAATGTCCCAGAGATGAAGTGTGTGAATTATAAATGACGGTTGTTACATTGAGCCGAAAACATTTGAATCATCCCAGGCTGCTCTCCTACATATATATGACAGTTTTTCCCTCCAACTGTTCGGCTGGGACCGCGTCCTCCCCCGCAGGCTCATGTCCAGGCTGGCGGTGGTCTGTGGAGGCTCCAGGGGCATCGGGGAGGCGGTGGCCCGCCTGCTGGCAGAGAGGGGCTGCAGGGTGGCAGTGGTGTCCAGGAACCAGGAGGCAGCCGAGGCTGCTGTGGCTGCCCTGCGCGGAGGTGCTGCAGTTCGTGAACATTTGTCAGAGTGTAGAACTTTGCTTTCATTTGCAGGGGCGGTTTCTGCATGAAGAGAGACCAGGGCGAGCCCGGCCTCCTTCCCCCCCACAAGTCCCCCCCATTGCTACTTGGTCATTAGCTACTGCAACTATATATGTCAGATTAACACTTTTGTGTTTGTCTGAATTATACTTGAAGTGAATGGACAGGCAAATTTCCATTATTATGTACCTTTTCTTGTCCTATCAGCTATCCACGTGTTAAGCAACATTTTTTTTATGTTTTTCAATTCTTATGCCCCATCGCCGGAGCCTCTGAGGACAGAATGTCACATCCTCCCTAACAAAAACTTTTCACATGCAACGTCTTTTACACACACTGACTCTTGGTGCTGCCATTCGCTGTCCAGCTCTCCTTCATACTTGCTGGTCAAAAGAGTTTTAAGAAAAGTGGAAGTTTGTCTGTTCATTTGGTTCAGAGCAGATTATAACAATGCGTCGGCTGGCTCGCTCGCTCGCAGAAATGTTGTGTGTGTGTGCTCCTCAGCTGACCACAGGGCCTTCAGCTGTGACGTCTCTGTGGAGCAACAGGTGCAGGAAACCTTTGAGACGATCCAGAAGACCTGCGGAGACGTCTCTTACCTTGTGAACGCCGCTGGAATCAACAGGTGGGCAGCGGAGTAGAAATCTCAGCTGCATTTCTAGAAGTATTCATATATTTCGGCCTGTGTATCCAACTTGATAACTGATGTGCTGAAAGCCTTAAGGGAAACATATTTTTATTGCATTTGAAAAAAATAAATAATGCAGCTTTCAATATTAGTACATTTCAGGGAACAAAATTTCCAGTATAATAAATTTTAACTTACGTTATTTTAGATTTAGCTAGGCTTAGCTAATGTTAAGCTTTTTGCCTGAAAATACTCCAAGTTGGTTCAGTGTGAAACACAGGAGGGGCATGGCGGAGGAACTGTGGTGCTGTGGGCCTGGTTCCGTTAACTGTCAACATGTTAATCAAGAAATGACCAAATGAACACAGAAGTGCTTCACCAGAAACAAGATGTTTTATATGTATTGTGGTATTTTATGTTTTTACACTGTTTTGTTTTATTGTAGGGCTTTTTTTTAACTCCATGTAAATGTTAAGCACGTTGTGTGGAAACAGTTTTTTAATGAAGTTACCGTTATTATTATTATTATTATTATTATTAAGAGATTAGCACCCAGATTTGAATCTTTCAGAAATCTGAGTTGGGTTAAAGAGTTGAGCACTTCTGAGAAAATGATTTAGAGGGGTCAAAAATCTGTCTCTGTGTGCTAAATGTTACTGGAAAACTTGTCCTGTTAGACAGTGGTGGTTGTACAAAGTACCAAAATATATGTTTTATTCAGTATTAGATTAAGTTACACCTAAGAATATTTGTTTATGTAAAAGATCTTTAAGCTTCTTAAGGATGGTAATGACTGTGAATATTTCTGATCCTGTCATCAGGGATGCTCTGCTACTGAGGACAAAGCCTGAAGAAATGGTGGCAGTGCTCCACACCAACCTGCTGGGCCCCATGCTGACCTGCAGGGCCGCACTGCGCAGCATGCTGCGGACCCCCGGAGCGGCAATCGTTAACATAGGTCTGCTTCAGGGCTTCTACATCAGCTGTAGGTTAGCAGTTCAGACACCAGGAGGCAGCAGAGTCACATTGTTTACCTAACATAGATGCAATTCATAGAATAGCACTAAATTGGATTTTTATTTTTTTTTCTTCACATTATATCGTAAATTATTTTATGAGTTCACTGAGTTCAGACAGGGCAATTCCCTAGAAAACCTCAAGTTTTAACCTCTAAAATTCCCTTTATTGCATGTTTTTTTAAATTATTATTTAAAGGAATGTATGTTAAGAGATCACTGAGGTAATTTGATGTGAATCGTTTGTGGAACAAACCGCTGCGTTTGCATGCGTTCCCATCATACCTGGTTGCCTTAACAGAGCCGTGTTTTCAGGCTCTGTGGTGGGCCTGAAGGGAAACGCTGGCCAGTGCGCGTACGGTGCCAGCAAAGCCGGTTTAGAAGGTTTCACTCGGTCGCTAGCCAAGGAAGTGGCGTCGCGTAACATCCGGGTTAACCTGTTAGCTCCAGGTATGGCGTTGGCACACGCTCTTCATATGTCACCACCTTTATTTTTCTGTTTTCAGTCAAATTTTTTCCCTCTCATGTTAGGTTTCATCCACACTGACATGACCATGGGGCTCAAGGAGGAGGCCAGAGCACGCTCCATCCCTCTGGGGAGGTTTGGCACGCCAGAGGAGGTAGCCATGGCCGTCCTCTTCCTGTTGGAGTCTTCGTACGTGACAGGACAGGTGCTGGTGGTGGATGGGGGACTGCAGCTGGCCATGTAGGGAGTGGCATCACTGGTGCAGAAGGAAGGAAAGCCTTTCAGTCTTGGATGTTTTGTTCAAGCGAGGATGCTCATGATGAGCGTTGCTTTGTGCTAATATGGACGGCGATGAGACTGAGTTAGAAGATGAAATCCCTCATCTGCTTTCGGAGGGCTGTCCTGCAGAGTCACTGAGCCGCATTGTGTGTATGTTATGACTAACACTGCTGACTCCAAAGTGTCTGGCCCTGTCCAGACCTCTGTGCCCCGGGGTCATAAATTTAATCACCAGATTTAACGCTGCAGCTCATTTTCCATGACTGTCAAGCGCTCACTGCTGATTCCAGCGCTCATGTTTTGTTTTTCCCCACCTCCCTCGGGAGATTCCCCCAGCACATGTTACCCCCTCTATCTTCCCAACACCATCACCCTCCTGATTCCACCTCTGGTGGGGGCCTGTCCGGGAACGAGGCCCTTTGGGCTGCAGCTGGAGAAAATTAGAGGTGGGGGGTCGTATTTTTAGATTGGGGAATATTTTCTGTGTTTGGTTACAGCTTCGGACCTGCAGGGAGGACGGAGGCGACTGTCATGTCCAGTAGTAAGAACTTACTAGGTTCATCTCTACCCTTAAAAAGAATCGTTTAAAAAATTGAATAAATTAGCAACTTTACATGTTTTTACCCTCCTGCTGTAAATGTTTTGCATTGCAAAACGTACAACCCTTTTGTATTTCATTCTTTTCAAAAAATGTCAACATTGTTTGTCTATTGGTCTTCATTGTGCTTATGTCTATCGGTGAAATAATTTAGGAGGGACCTGCTAAAGGGTGCATATCGGTCGGACCCAAATCAGGGGTTGTGATGCTGAGAGGTTATGCAGGTTTGTGTCAAAAACCTCACCAGCTTAAAACAGCATGGGTTTGTAGCATTAAAATGACCAGCATTAGCTCAAATGCCGTATCACGTTGACCATCTTTGACCCACTCTGTTTAGTAGTTCAACCTGCTAGTTAACACCCACATATTGACATCATTTTAGCTAATTTTAACTTTTACACTGCCTATGAAATGGATCCTTCTAAAAAATGTTTTGGTCATGAGGTTTATAAAAACATTTCACTTTCGTCAGATCTGGAATTTTATTACAGTTCATGAGCGAAAACGAGATCAGGAGGATAATCTGTACACAGGCACTGATTGGCATGGAAATGAGCCAGCACCTTCAGGTCAGCTGATACAAGAGAGACGTCCAAACGGAGACAAAATGATAGATATAAATATATTTTAATTTCCTTTTTTTTATTATTGAGTGTTTATTACCCCTGAATACTGCAAGAAGTTGTGTTTTATACATCCATGTAAAAGCTGTTTGGCACTATACAGGTGTCTGAAAAGAACATGCAAAGAAAAGGTGTTTAATCGAAGTGATTTAAGGCAGTACGTTTATAAAACTTCATTTTGTTTGAAGGTATAATTTAAGATAGGATGGTTGGGAAGGTAAATAGAATAAAATAGTGTGATCTGTGCTGCGTAGGAGAGCTACATTGAAACCTTTCATGAGTCAGAACGTTACATTGCACACGGCTAGGAAACATAAACCTCCAAAGTAGAGGAAAATCGACTAAATGAACCTTCTTTAAAACCTTTTGTTCTCACCCCACTGTACACCTGCTCTTCCACATACATCCTGCTCATCTTCACCTCAAACCTTCGTCATACCAGACCGTCAACATTCAGCATGGAAGAGCTCACCTCTTCCAGTCCCTTCAAGTTCTGGCACCTCAGATGTGTGCATGCGTAGTGAATCTGTGTTGCACGGGTTTCTATCTTTCTAGGATTAAGAGGCACTTTAACTCTTCTCTCATCATAAGCACTTCAGTCACCTTCCAAGTCACCTTAATTTCTTTACTATAAAGGGTTTATAAGAATGAAACCACAGCTGCACCCTCCCCATCTCTGCAGTTCAGTGGTGGACTAGAGTTCAGTCTGGCTCCTGCCTCTCTCTGTCTCAGGAGTGTCGGGACGGAGGACGGAGGACAGGCTTCACAGGTGGGACGGGGTTGGAGTCAAAAATCTCTGCGCGTGTCTGCGTCCCCGTTACAGGTCGTCGCTTTCCACCAGGCTACCGGGTGGCAGCGGGCTGGAGTCGGGAAAGAAGGCCGCCTTCACGTCCAGGCCCCTCTCCGTCAGCGCGGCGTAGCGGCTGGCTGAGGGGCGGACCTTCTTGGGCTTGGGGAGGTTCGGCTGCTGCCACTGAGCTGAGGAGGGAGGAAACAGAGTTGGCGGCAAAGTACGCGGCAGGAAACGTGCGACTCTGCAGGCCTGAACCTACTGTGAACGTCGAGGCGTGCGGTGCTGGAAACGATGCCGGCGTCGTTCTTGGCGGACACAGTGTACCAACCGGCGTCTTCCTTCAGAGCCGGCTGGATTATCATACACAAGTAGCCGCAGTTGTCCTGGTGCATGCTGGGAAGGAGCATCAGTGTTAATGATACAAATTTACTTCTGACCCTCAAACCGCAGACATTTTAGTGGGATTTAATGCGATGAACCATCCATTAAACTTGATAGAAATCCAAAGTGTTGCACACATTTTTATTCTGCCTCTTTTACACTGAAAACAGTTAGAGTGGCCCAGTCAAAGTCCAGACCTTAATTTAAGAAAACTTGCCCAAAGATGATCTCCATAAAATCTGACTTGACTTTGTTTTGCAGAAAATGTGCAGAATTTTTCATCTCCATTTCCAAAGCTGGCTGATGCGAACCCTAACAGACACATAGCCGTAAAAGTGCAAATGTCTGGCAAATGTTTCAGGATTTCATGGCAAAAACAGGGTAGCATTTTTCCTCCTGCTTCCATTTCTGTGCATTAGTCCATTATAATAAATCCCACATAAAATCTAAAATACATCACACTCAGTGGCTGTAATGTGACAAAATGTGGAAAACTTTGCGAAGACGAATTGTTCTCAAAAAGCAAGAACTGCAGAGCTGCACCTGATTCTGTCTGTGTTGTGAGTGAAGGACTCGTTCTCCCTCTTCCAGAAGATCTGTGGGTGAGGAACGCCCATGACACGGCACTCCAGCCGCACGGGGTGACCCTCCGCCACGCTGGTGTTCTGCAGCTTCTCCACGAAGGACGGCGCCTTGTGCATCTCTTTAGCTGTCGAGAAGAGAGCCATCATTACCGAGGCGACGGTGAAACCACGCCTGCGATCGTCGTCCGTGCGCGACCTTTTGAACTCACCTGCAACGATGAGCTCCAGGTTGAAGGAGTTCTGGCCGGCCCGGTTGCTGGCGATGCAGGTGTAAATGCCGGCGTCGCGGCTCGTCACCGGCTCGATGACCAGAGAGTGGACCCCGTTCTCCCTCACCAGCATCTTGTGGGACGGGTCGGGACGGATGGTGTGTCCGTTCAGCTGCCAGATGAGGTCAGGGGTCGGCAGGCCACTCACCTGCGGGTGGAAGGAAGCGTTAGAAAGTCACTGTACTGCCGTGTGGAAGGGAATTTCAAGGCTCGCACTCTTTGCTTGTTGTTCTTGGAGAGCGGAGCGCGTCAGCTGCATATGTTCTCTCTGTGTTTACTGGGAGGACGAAGACACCAGTGTTTGGTTTATCTCTGTTATTTATCTGACGGAGCCCGGTCGCCTGCATGCTTCGTCGTGGGAACAAGTAGCACAAAGGACTAAATCTGGGTGAGAAACCCAACACCTGGCCCACCTGGAACATTCACCGTTCCCAAACGCCTCTGCTGAAATTCCAGTTCAGCGGCATTCGTGGAAATCACCAAGGGATGTGGACAACACTGGAAAAACTAAATCTTACCAAGTATTTTTTTAATTTAGTTTCAAGAGCAAATATCTCAGTACACTTGAAATAAGACAAAACTAACTTAGAAGTAACTTTTCACCAATAGAGTGGAGCTTGTTTTAAGTCAATAATTCATTTATAATGATGAAAAATAGCAGCTCCACTGGCAGATTATTTCACTTATAACAAATTATAACGATAAGTCAGTTCATTTTATTTTTGGTAAATTAACATTACACAAAGAATAAAAGCAAAAAAATGAAAAATTTTTGTAAACCCTTAATTTACAAAAAAAGGAATAGACTTAAACCCAGGCTGCCTTCCATGAATTATTCATTAATCAAAAGATCTACCACTAAAACTATATGTTTGTTTTTTAATCAATATTGAGGAATTAATAATTTAAAACATGCTGTTATATTTTGCTGAAAAGTTACTTGTAAGTTAGTTTTGCCTGATATCAAGTGCGATGAGATATTAGCACTGGAATCTTGGTCAGATTTCTGCCTGTTTGTTTTTTGTTTGTTTTTTTTCCCCACACAGGTCCTGTTGATAAATCTTCGCTATAAATGACCAAAAAAGAAATGGAGAGCAGTTTTTTTTTTACAGGCATAAAAAGACTGCCTTTTTATAGTGAGTTAATTGTGGGTCTGTTTTATTTTATTACATGAAGCAGTTTTAAGTAGTTTGTAAATGTTGCAAGGAGGCGAGGTAAAAGAGCAGGGGAAACTGGATTTGGTCCTTTAAGGCTTCCATCTTTGCATTCTCACCATTTATGGTGAGAAATTCATAAGAAAGCAAATGTCTCCTTTGAGCCAGTTTTTCTTATTTCCTACAGACTGAATCAAGGAAAAAGTGTGGAAATGTTTCTTTGGCAGCGCTGACATGGAGCCTCCCTCTGAGCGATCCAGACGCTGAATTAAAGGGTGGATCTGAAAACGCTTTTCTGTATTACTATGATTATCATATTCCCGTCGGTTTGGAGTTGGGTTTTTTTTTCCTCTCCAGTCATTCTCTGTTATTGTAGAGGATCCTATCCGCTTCATTTTAATATAGAACAGGGGTGTTCAAAGTGCGGCCCGGGGGCCATTTGCAGTTCAAGAATGACACAACTTTGGCCCGTCCTCCACAGGTGGTTGATGCAGGTGGAGACGTTTTATTTTTTAATCACAGGAGGTTCAATAAAAAATCCCAGTTTCTTTACTGTGTTTCAATATGTTGCCTGATCAGATGAAGCAGCAGCAGCGAACTGCATCTAGAACCAGGGATGTGTCCTCACCTTGCAGTCCATCCGGCACAGGCGGCCCTCCTGGACGATGAGGTCACCAGGCGCCTGCAGGAAGTGAGGACGGAAGTGACGCTCTTGGATGTTGTCGTTCTCGTCACCGCTGTCTCTGGACCGAGATCGGGGCCTGACAGCGGACGCAGAGCACAGCAGTGAGTACGGTTAAGGGAGTGAAATTATTTTGGGCAGGTGGTATAAGTGGCACCAGCTTTTGAACTGAACAGGGATTCAAACGTCAGCTGAGCGCAGATTTTCCTGATGTTAACAAACGATGCTCTGCTAGAGAGAAAACATCAAACGAAAATCAAGTTTTGTTTGCATTGGCTTGAGTTCAGGAATTGCATATTGTTATCAGTCTGTTGTTTTCCTACAGAACCTGCTGCAGGCGAGGACAGAAACCAGACTAAAGTTCATTAATTGTATCATTTTAGTAATTGATTATTTTGACAATTAGTTAATATAAGAAATTGGCACATTCTGCCAATATTTATTTGACCTCTTGAGCTTATTTTATACATTAATAGAAATACATTGAAAAAGTACAAATCATTTCCTTTTTTTAAATAAGAATATAAACATTTAATTGTCTAAATGCAGTCAGTGTAGCATTCCTTTGTTGTACAATTTACTTATATATTGTCACAGATTCAATATTTTTAACTTGGAGAGTAATCTGTTGGCTAGTTTTTGGTTTAACATGATAATAATTGGACAGAAAAAAAAGCTTAATATGAGATTTTTTTGGATTTTCTGCAGAGTTTCAACCAGGGGAAACTAAAACTACAACAGACCTGACAGGTTCAAAGTAGCACGTTCGTACAAAGAGTTTTTATCTTAAAACTCTACAAAAAACATTTCTATTTTACATTTGTCTTAAAATTACTGCTCTGAATATGTTCCCTTCAGTCTTAATACCACAGTTAATGATTAACTCATCACTAAATTGGTTGAGGTTTTCTTCAATCAGCGATTAATCACAATTTACCCCTTTAATTGTTTCAGCCCTATTTAATAGAATTACATACTTACAGAGAAAACTTTTAAAGGGGACTAGGGTATATATGTGTGTATATATGTATCTGTGCAAATGCTCAACACAGAACCAGCTTAAAGGGGGCATAAAGCATTTTGTTAACAAACAGTACATTTTACAGTGAGTTTTGTAGGAGAAGAAACTTGCTCTTAAATTGAAAACTTTTGATTTCTGAAAGAAAAACTCCCTCAAACCAGAACAATCATTTCAAGAAAGCTATGTGCGCTCTCCTCCCCCGACAGATCTGACATCAACCCTCTTTCTGTTTGTGATCTCTGCACCCCCAGGTGTTCCTCTGAATCCTCCCGGTGACCTCACCATCCCACCTGCACCTGAAGCAGGGCCGTACACAAAAGACGAAACCCAGAAACAACAACAACAACAAAAAAAAACGGTCATTCAGGCACCGATTGTTATCTCGATCTCTCTCCTCACCCAAAACAACGCGGCGCTGTTATCTAATCGGGGCGTGTCCGTGGTGATAACAGCTCACAGGTGGTTACATCCACAGCCTGTGAGATCATCTTTTACTATCCGGGCTTGCATGAGTGCACACCGTGTACACAAGGTCAGAACAAACGTGTTCTCTCTCATTAACACTCTGATTTTCTTTGAATGAACAGTTAAACAAAGAACAGAGTGTGATTTCACTTCATGGCAAACACTTGTGTAAATGTGAGTCTCCTGGAAGATTTTCTGGCCCGAATCTGTGCAGAAATGTGAGGGGCAGCTGCTGCACGGGTGCCAGCCAGCAGCTGGATGTACATGTTGTTACTTTAAACAAAAAAAAAAAAGTGCAGGTTTGGTTTTGTTTGCCCTTTTGAATCAAATGACTGAAAAAACATCACAATAGAAGCGTTTCAGTCGATAGTTATATTGGGTGACCTTTCCTGCTTTATCCAGATTTCACTTCATGCTGCTGGTTTTTTCATTTTCAAGCAGTTTTGTGAAACATGAAACTGCTGCTGCACAAGTTAACTCAACGAGTTGTTGCTAGGTAACCAAATACTGAGTGAGTTGATGCTACCTCCCTTGCTTAGCTCGCCTCTAAAGACTTTATTCTGCCTGCCTCTCCCAGAATGCAGTTCTGGATTGTGTCTTTTTCAATATATTTTACTGAACCCCAAATGTACCCTCAAATACCTATAGGTTTTACACTTCTTACCCATGTGTCCACCTGCAAGTATTTTTATGAATACTAGTATTCAAGTATTTTAAGAATTATGGAAATAAATAATTGCGAAAACGTTCAAATGTCATGCATAGTCGTACATTTGTCTGTTATTTTCTCAAATATTTACATCGGCTAGTTATTCCTAAGGGCGGTTTTGATCTTGGTTGGCTGCACTTGACTTTCAAAATGAAACAGATTAGTAAAGTCAGCAGCAGATTAAGCAAGTGCCACAAAATTTTCCCCCCTTCAATAGAACAAATTTGACCCGACGCCGTCAGGCAATTTGACCCAGCATAAAGAAAGAGGGAAAAAAAAACCACCGTCAGACAGCGGACCCTCACCTGCGCATGTGACCTGGAGCCATCCGTGGGCTGCGGCCGCGCTGGTTCACCGCCTGGACCATCATCCTGCCGGAGCAGCTCACCCGGCCCTGCAGTGGGAGGACAGAGAGCTGGAGTCTGAACCCAGGACCGGCAGTCACACGGAACAGGAGGAAATCAGATGCGTCTGATAAAGCAGGAGAACGCTGCTCTTCAGCCTGTCCTACATGAACCTTTCACCCCTCTGAGGGTGTTAGTGACTTTCTGCTTCATTCAACGCCTTCTTCCTGTTCAGACCAGCAGGGCGTTACCTGCAGCCTCCCAGAAAAATGTTTCTTCTTTTTCTTTCTTTTTTTTTCTGACTTACGTCTGGGTTTGCTGCCAGGATGGTGTAATTTCCGTCGTCGTCCAGCGAGGCTGCCGCTGTGTGCAGAGAGCAGGTACCGTCCGGGTCCCGGCTGATCCGGTAGTGTTCGCTCCTCTTGGAGATCTGCTTGCCGTCTTTAAACCAATAAACCTGCGAGGAAAAGATGAAAAAACTCAACGCTCAAGTTTTTTTTGTTGCGCTGTGGTTTTCTATGCACATCATATTTTAAAAGTATGGCTGTATCAAAATCAATGGATTTCACAAAACTGCAGTGGAAGAGCTTTTTTTCCACCTCATGAGAATCAACAACTGGATGTTGCTACTGGCAAAAACTACGAAGAAGACCACAGGAAGTGGTAGGAGGAGGACGATGGGGCTTGTGTTTTAATGACATAACGTGTGAACAAGGTCATTCATGCCGGTAGGTCAGAAAAACAATCTGAAGATTATGGATGCAGAACGATGCATCCAAGTCTATTGATGGAAAGTTGTGTGAAAGGAAAAAAGTGTGATCCCATGATCACAGTGGTGGGCACCTTTGGTTTGGGGTCTCCGTGGACCTTGCAGGAGAAAGTGACCGGCATGCCCTCGAACACCTTGTAGTGTTTCAGTTTCTGGTCGAAGGAGGGCGCCACCCCCTGGCCGGCGGAGTCCTCGTCGTGCTGGACGTCGTCGTCCGACTCCTCCACCGGAGAACGCTCCAGGCGATATTCAATCTCGCTGATGAGGCGCTGCTCGAAGCTGGACACTTTGTACTCCTGAACACAAGACACAAGGGGAGAGTCAGGAGACGTCTGGACCGGAGAGAATCTGAGCACCGAGGTTCATTAACTCGCTTTCATCATCACCCAATCGAGCCGAACCCTTCCCCCTCAATTTCCCAGTCCTTTTCCTTTACAACCATCCCCATCAATCCCTCATCGCTCCGCGGAGCGCAGAGGAACATCTGCAGAGCAGCTCAACGTGATGACACATCCCGCAGATAATGACAGGCCTCAGGCGCAGCTGCAGAGCCAGCGCTAATCCTCCTGAGCCGACGTGGAGAGGAGGCCGGTTGCCGACCTATGATCACACCGAGAGGAGGTCGACTCTCTGACAACTGGACTGAAAAGATGCTCGCTGCTTAAAACGGGAGCAACGTGCATCACTGTGAGATGTGATGGTTGAGCAACGCGACACGCTGTACAAGAATGAGCTGTGACATAAACCATTTTTCTAGCGTACTTGTCCCCCAGGAAGCCAAACCTCCATCCTGTTCTTAAGTCTTGTGCAGCTTCTGATAGGTTTTCTTCTAGAAATGCCTCCCCACAGCATGATGCTGCCATGACTATGTTTCACAGAGGACGTAGAGTGTTCAACATAAGATGCTGCACAAAGTTCCTTTTTTGTTTCTTCCATGTCTGCTTCATTTATTTGCTAACTAGGTGACTTCCAAAGGTTTTATTTGGAGGTCTCAGAGAGGATCATCACACAATCACACAAAATCCCAGTAAAACACAGTAAAGTGTGTGATTGCAATGGATATTAATTCTGCATATTAATACTGACACTATAATAACTACCCGAACCCTGAGACGTTTTTATTCCAGGGACAGGACTCACATTTCTGGTTTTCTAAAAACACATCAGTGTGATTTCAATTTACAGATCTAGAAACGGTGAGGATAGTAATGATAATAATAATAAAAAAGAAAAGGTTGAAATGAACCTTTTGAGAGCAAGTTTCTGCATCAGCTGACTTGTCTTCCTGTTGGGAGAAAACACGTCTTGGTTGAGTGTGTTTGGCTCTGAGCGTCACACGGTGAGGGGAAACAAGCGCTCTTGGTGCTCCAGCTCTCCATGCAGAGTCACAACGAAATGGAAAAGTGGATCAGTTAGGTTTGTTTATAAGTGACCTGCTGACTCTTTGCGTTCACCTTCATGTTTCAAATTGAGCTTTTTCTCGGTGCACAGAACTGGAAATGGACGGCTCATTTTTGAAACACACAAGCGGCTCCGGGAACTGTTGCTATTTTTGTTCCCTTCAGCAGAACTGGGTCGTTGGCTCCGAGTGAGACAAACAGCCACATTAGCTGGATGTTACTGTGGAACAACAGAGGGCTGGATAAACAGAGCTTTTTATGGAGGGCCGGCTGCACCGCCGCCGGTGTTTACAGAGGCACAGGGTGGGGCTGACAGGCGATCAGAAGATAGGAGTGTCATCAGAAAAAGGTTTTCGCGTCACACGGTGAACATGCAGCAGAGTGAAGGGGGAAGGATACAACCCACTCTGGTGAGGACGTGTTGGTGAAACGTTTCCATCCTGGTGATGTTCCCATGCTGGGGCCAGATGCATAAACAACGTCAACACGCCACAGAGACTTATTCACAGCCCGACGTTTCCCTTCTGATTTCATATATTTAACTGCAACCATGTGTTCCAAAACATTATTTAGAGTTTGTTGATTTTTCAGATATATTACCGACTGAAAGGTTTTCATAAACAGACATTCAGAGCTTGTTTGATTTTTCTTTTTTGTTTTGCCCTCTGATGTTTCGTTTCATCCCTCCAACTTTCCGCATCTTGTCACGATGCAAACACAAGCTCCGCTGTGTTGTGTTGGAGTGTTGTGTGATGGTGAAGTGGAAGAAAGACAATGTGTGGTTTTTACGGAAAATCTGAAAAGTGTGGCATGTAATTGAATTCAGCCACCCGTGAGAAAATTCTTGGTAGAAACGCCTTTAATGTGGAAGACGTTTGAATTATAAGGAGGCTGAATTCGAGTGTACGCCACACTTTTGGTTCCTGATATCTGGTTTCAGCTGTAAGTGTTTTTCTCCAAATTTTGGCTTTTAATCAAATGTTAGATTGGACTTTATTACAAAACACTGCAGTTTGAATAAAAATGACTTTTAAGGACTTGATGCAGAAAACACAGAATTGAAATTCAGGCATTTCCAAGGATCCCAGAATGTTGCATGAACCATGATGCTCCCTAATTTTAGAGGATAAAAATTGTGCATTCATCCACCTGTTATGACTGTGAATAACAAAAGTAATAATAATTTCCGCATCTGGTCCCAGCGGCGTCTGTCCCCCATGCAAAGGGCCCCGTACCTGTGTGACCGGCTCCTCCTCTGTGTCCTGTGTGTTCAGGACTGTGGCAGCGTTGTCGGCCCCCAGGAGCCTACGGGCCATCTTCTCCTCATAGGTTAACCTCTGCAATCAGGGATTAATGAAGTCAGCGCGGGTTAGTGGGGTCAGCCGCACAAAAACACACCTTCACACACCGTGGGGTCAAGTGGCAGCTGCGTTCAGGCCCGCCGTTAAAACGTTTCACATTCATCCAAAAGGTAAATCCAACCGAAGCTGAATGAGTATCGCTCAATCTTTCAACTTGCTTTTTTCGTTCTTCTTAGCGCGTGTTAATCTGTGTTAAAAGGTGCTCACGCTTGCTGACAGGAAATCGTGCACGCAGATGAAAACACACCTGTTGGCCGTTGCTCATGCGCTCCTCTTTAAAGCGCAGCTTCCTCTCCAGATCCTGGATGACGGCGTCCTTGGAGCCCTGGATGTCGGAGTCGGAGACGATGCGAGGCGTCTTGGTGACCGACGACTTCCTCGGAAACACTTTGCTGAAAGAAAGAAAAAGAAAAACAGCCACTCGTCATTAAAGTCGTGCCTCTTTGCACACGCGCTCCTACAATCTCAATTTTTTTTTTTCCTCCTGCTGCATCGTTACCAGAACTCGCTCTCCCTTATCTGCCCATGTCCAGCTATTGCGTTCCTCTCTGTATCTTCTTATCTCTTTGCCAACGCAGCAGGAATGTCAGGGTGAGAGAGGGAGCGCAGGAGTGAGTGAGGGGCCGATGAAAAATTACTGGCGGAGAGATGAAGGTGGAACAGGAAAACTCTCCCCTCTCATTAAGAGAGAGGAAGGACCTGCAGGTTTTTGCCAAGCCAAGTCAATGTGCCAAGAGCAAAGTGGGATTTTGACCTAAAAGCATAAAAGTGATTGATCATACATGAATATGATCAATCACTTTTCAGATGTGTTTGCTCTTTCGGTTACTTGTGTTGTGAATTAAGAGGTGGGAGAACATCTTTAAATAGAATCCGTTTGATAACATGTGAGAGACGCATAAACCACAACTTGGTTTGAAGAAATTCAAGAATGAATAAAAAACAAAATCATTTTAATATGAGTGTCTAGAAAAGGGCCACAAAGTCTTTTGGACTCCAAAGCTTGAGCACTGAATAAACAGAAAATAAACCAAATTGGATCTTCCTCTGGTTGCATAATTGACTTTATGAAATTAATGGCAGGTGTGAGCATTTGTTTGACTTGGACTCGCCTTTCCCTCTCAGGTCAGAGGGTTTATTTTCTTGCCATTACACCTTTGGTAAACTTTACTTTCTGTCTCGCTGCTTTATCTAGTTTTTCTTTTTCAAACATGCCATATAAAAATGTAAACATGCCGTTTCTCATCCGTCCAAGCCTCCTGCCTGTCGCCTGGACGTTTACGTCCAACCAGGTTCTGTTATGGGTTCACGCCGTGTAGAAAGGGCCTCCAGTGTCTCGCTTGACACAATGCATAACTCTGAAGAGACAGCAGAGTGTAGGGGTGTGTTCACACCAGCCCTGTTTAGTCCGCTTTAATCCGACTCTGGTTCGTTTATCTAGAAAGTCTGATTCGTTTGTGGAGGTGTGATTGTGCACTCTAATGCTGATCCGCCTAAAAGCCTCGGTCTCTGTCTGGTTGAAGTGAACTCTGGCATGGTAACCCTAACCCTATTCAGAGACCACTCCAAAAGCAGGAAGCAGACTTTACTGCAGGGCATTCTGGGTACATACAATCAAAACAAACATGTTAGCAGGAGAACTGCATTGTGGTGTTTTGCCTCAGACAGTTTCCCTGCCTGCTTGTTACTGCTGCTGTTTTTAAAAATATTACTGTATGGCGTCTTTGAGTGTCTTTACAAGCCTTTTATAGATAAAATGTATTATTATTATTATTATTATTATTATTATTATTATTACAAAACAGAATTTCTACAACCATTTTTGTTTACATTCTGTAAAGAATGAAGTTGTGCTCATGTCTTCTTCAGAGGTTTTTGTGTCATTTCTCTCTGTTGTTCTTGGTGCAGCGCCACCACAGGCGAGGAGGGGAACAGGTTTTCAACTAGTTTGGTTCATTTGACACAGTGCAGTGTGAACGAGAACCGCAGCAGCTGAGCATGTGACAGAAATGTGACCTTTGGACCCTTACATGGTGCCGTTGCCTTTGGGAAGGCCCAGGCTGTTGACTGTGGGGCTCCCGGGTGTGGAGGGGCTGGAGGGCAACACCGAGGACAGAAAGCTGGAGGCAGGAGATGGGGGCACCGAGGAGAACGGCGACGACACATCTGAGCCGACTGGAGACATGGAGACTGGTGGAGGAGGCGGGGGCGGGGGAGGAGGGAAGTCCTGGCCGGAGCCGGAGGGAGAGGACAGGTTGCTGGGGCTGAGGAAGGGCGGAGGAGGAGGCGGGAAGGACGGAGAGGTCGGGGACTCGACGCTGCCGGCCTTCGTGAAAGGAGGCAGGGCGACCCGGTTTAAGGGCCTGTGGGAGGCGGGTGGAGACAGCGGGGAAGACAGGCTGGACCCAGAGGAGCCAGAGGAGTGGGGGACGTAGCCCGCCCTGCCCGGGCTCTGGGCAGCGATGAACTGCTTGGGCCGGGCGTAGTTGAAGGTACTGGCCTGCATGGCGGTGCTGCTCTCCAGCTCCTGGAAGGAGGGGGGCGGGGGGAGGGGCGGCGAGGGCGGAGCAGGTGGAGGTGCTTCCTGAAGCAGTTGCAAGGGTGGAGGCGGGACTTCCTGGATGTGCTCCTGCTGCCAGATGGCTGCCTCCTGCTGCTCCAACAGAATCTGGTCCTGCAGCTGCTTCAGCTGGGCCGCGTTCCTGAGAGGGAAAGGAGAAGAAGACTCAGTCAGTCCAGCTTCCTTTAATCCTCACCGCTTTGCAGCAGGTGGAGGGCGGATGCAAGACGGCGACGCTGAGAAAAAAAAAGCTACAAAACAAGAAGCATCTGTTTTCAGTTTCTCCACGACAACAATAACAAATTTCTACACTGCAAAAACACAAAGTCTTACCAAATATTTATGGTCTGGATTCTACTGCAAATATCTTAATACACTTTAAATAAGATAAAACAAACTTACAAATCACATTTCAGCAAGATAAGGGAGCCTGTTTTAAGTAAATAATTCTTTAATGCTGATGGAAAAGTGCTAGATCCACTGGAACCAGCACTTCCTTTTTTCCTCATCGATACACTTCACTTATTTCAAGTGTACCAATATATTTATAGTAGAAAACAAACCACATTTACTTGGTAAAATGTCATTTTTTTGTTGGATTTTTTGCAGCGCACCAGCTGCGGTCAGTGAGAACTACTGACAGAGTTTAACCTTTAAAAACATCTCTGATGTTTTTCTGACCACCAACTAGGGTGAGCTGTTCTTCCTGGGCTGCGTCTGGCACCAGGTTTGGTCAAACTGGAATATGTCCGACTGCTAGGGAGGAAACAACTGCACGAGCAGCAGGGACTGATAGTTTATCAGCTTGTAGCCGTTAACAAAGAGCCAGACTGTTGACAGCACTTTAAATGCGCTGCAGGAGTCAGACTGCTGTTGCTCGGCTCCGGCTTGCAGCCTCGAAAACTGATAGTAGAAGCGCCGCAGAGGCCGATTTCCTCTCTGTGAGACACAGTTCGGTATGACTCCTGCTTGAATGTTTTGCTGAAAGAAGAAAAACATAACTGAGACATATGCGAGTCATTTATCCAGATGATGAAATGCTGTTTTTCTGGGGGGTTTCAGAGTTGCGGTCGTCCAGTTTGGTGACCGTCTTGCGATGTCATTGTGGAGGAGAGACGGTGGAGTTTCTCGGATGTCGTCTGCTCCACATTTCTGTCCACAAAGAATCTTTACATGAACTAGTAAAGTTTCAAAGAGACCAAGTGTTGTTAAGTTATTTTGCTTCCTTTTCATTTCAGTGTGGTTGTTTATATCTTGTTTTTTATGTATATGAAGTCCATAAACTTTTAAAAACACAGCAAATGAAGGATTCCTTCGCAGTGGTTCATTTGCTTTGTGTACACACTAATCTCACAGAAGTATTCATATTCCTTGAAAATGTTCATATTAGAGCAAAATGTCTTTCCATTTATACTGAATTTTATTAGATGCATGCCACTGTAAATTAAAAGTATACTTGTTTTTTTTTATTATTTAGTTTTTTTACTGCAATTGGAGCTATAAGTAGAGGTGGGCGGATTGATCAAAAATATTAATATGATTGTTTCCTTGTTGGTATCGATATCAGATTGGTATTAGTATGGTAAAATTGATATTTCGGTTTCAGATTCTCTCTTGAAATGTGATTTTAGTTTTGTATTGCAGTTTCCCAAACACGGGTAAAAAAAAACCCAAAAAAGTTTAGGAAAAAATTTCCACAATTATGTTATGTTTTTTTTTTTATTGGTCATCTTATCGTATTTTTGAAAAAGACACAGCAACGTCAGAAGTTTGGTAATATGTCACACTTCTATATTAAGTATATTGATACTTTTTATTTCCTGTGTTTATTTTGCACCGAATCAACACCAAAATACGCAGAATCACACTTTTTTTTTTAATCATAGAGCAAATATTATCAACCTGGGCACAGTACTTCTTCTTTCCACCATGAGACACTTTGTAGCGCTCCCACATAGCTGGAAATTTGGGGTATAAAATACATAAACATTTTAGCTTCTAAGGTAAACGATATGTGGAAGAGTTTATGAGAAGTGAATAATTTTGCAAGGTATTGTGGTTTAGGGTTTACTTCCTTAGCCATTTACATTCTGACATGTCATATTTGTATAATTATTTGCATAACTTGAGCTTCTGTCGGCTAACCAAACAGAATCTTTCGAGGAACAGGCCTCAAAACGACAGGAGAAACTTTTTGATCCCAGAGACAGCAGCAACACGCAGCATGTACATAAATCCTCTCCAACAGGCTCCCAAAATTACATTCCAAACTTGTAAATGGGGCTCCTTCACGCATTCACAAACTATAGAAACCACAGCTCTCCGCAGGCATCAGGAAGACGACATTGGTCTCTAGGAAAAGCCTGTGAAGCTGTAAATCTTGCAGCATGTTGTGCAGTGTGTGCTGCATGTGAGAACGAGAAGCTCCTCACTGTTCAGAAAATACTGCACATCCCATGTTCACTGGAGTCCACCAAGTTCACGTGCCCAAATCGTTTCCAGATGTCAGATAATCAGTGGAGTGTTTCAACTATTTTTTTCCTATCTGTGACAGTACAGCCCCCCTCCTGTACTACCCACCCTCTTCTCTTAGGTCCTGCTGCCAACAGCAGCATGACTGATTAGTCTCTCCGAGCCATTTTGGTTTTTCGTTTTGGCCGTGTGCTTCCTTCCAGAGTGGACTTCACAGGCCCAAATAAATACCCATTAATCCACAAGCATCCATTCCGATCGTTCCAGCTCGTCCCCACCTGGTGCTCTCCTTATGGTCCTCACCGACGAGACACAACACAATCGGTTCAGCATGTCTGCCGCTTTGTGTACATTTTCCTTTACATTCCCCCAAAGCTCTCCTCCTCAGGCCTCCAAGGAAAGGGAGCTTTTACAGGAATAGTTTGGCAGCTGGCGAGGCTCGCGGCGCTCCGCAGCAGTTTCATTCCTTTTTTGGCTTTGTTCTCGGTGCGTCAGGCAGAAGCGGCCAGCAGAAAGGAAACACACTTCATATCCTCACGGCCCCATCCCTTACTGGCTCAGCATGAACACACTTCGAAGCCTTTTTGGCATGCATCAGGGTTTCTTCTTCTTCTTCTTTTACGTACTTGTGTTACAGTTCTTTTGGAATTTAAAAAAAGATTGAAACAGGAGGTAAAGTCGCAAAAATCGATGAATTAATGGTGAGATCAGGTTGGTCGTGAAAGTTGCCAAATTCCAGCCGGAGGTGCAAATACATTTCTTTAGAAGTGTGTCACCAAAATCACAAGTGAAGAGGTCCGTTTCCTACGACATAGTATGTCGTTTCTACTTTTTATTTTGGCTGCAAGAGAGTGAGAGAGAGCAACACTTTCAGAACGTCGTAGCTTGGCTAATATGAGATGTAAAAGCCAGTTTTACTTTCATTTACAACTAGTCTTGTTAAATGGTGTCATTGCTGTTCCAGCTGTTAAATCTGTATCTGCAGGTAGAGCTCCACAAAGATCAGGGATCGGAATTTGGTCACAAAATTAGGGTCTTGGCTTGTCAAGAACTTTGTAAGTATCCTGCTTTTTCCACAGAGTTTCGATGCAGATTCAAGAAATCTGTCATAACTTGGCAGCTCTGGTCCTCCAAAACTACTTAGTGCAAGAAGATTATAATTATAGCCAAATTACAGCGGCATCTGAATCTGGTTTAAGCATTTGCTTCATGTTTAAACGGTCAGTCTGGTCTTATTATTATTTCCAGCTGCGTCAATATTTTCATGTCCCACTTGAGAATCTGGATCAATCAAGCTACCAGCCAGAGGTCATCCAGAATCAGATCAGCCTCCAGCTTCTACTTCCAGAAATCTTTGACCGCAAAGTCCAACAGAGTCGTCCCATCATGCACTGCTTTATCAATAATCCGCCTGAGCTCAGCTGCTGATACCTTGACCTACAGTTTCTGTAAAGATTTCTCTCAAAAAGTCTTCAGATTCCCAGCAGATTTCCATCTGTCCCTTCTACTGTCGGCCCATATGTCAGAGCGGGGTCTAATTAGTAGGGACGTTTTCCTGTGTCGCCACGCCAACAGTCCTGTGTTTTGCTGTTCTGCTTTGGGCCAACTGGCCCACAAAGCCGTCCGCTTCACAGAGAAAACACTTCAGCCCCTCTGTGTGCTGCTCCGACTGGAAGACGCAATCAATCTTCCGTCTCGGAGGCCTCTCTCTGGAGGAGGTCCTTTTGGGTCGGATTTGTACATTCTTAACAAATTCGGAGGACGAAAGACGAGACAAACTGCGATCCAGACTGGAATCTCTGCCACATTTCTGAAAGCCTAATAACCGGACACCGGGAGGTTTACAGCGCTGTGATGTTTCAGGCTCAGTGAGAAGCGCCAGATGCAGCAGCAGCAGAATGTTGCTTTAATAAATGGAGACCCCGGAGTTGTAAAAGGCCATGTTTGCTCTTTGGTGCCTACTTGAACTCTAACGGCCCACATCGCACAGGAAACTCCTCGTTTCACACCGCAAAAACACAATCTTGGTCTAGTTTTTAGTGCAAATATCTCTGTATGCATGAAATAAGACAAAACCAACTTACAAGCAACTTTTCAACAAGATTTAAGAGCTTCTTTTAAGTCAATAATAAACTAGTTCTAAGTTTTCCCCATGTTATAAGTTAAATTGTCTTGTTCCATCGACAGATACCAGTACTTTTTTCATCAATACTAAGGACTTATTTACTTAAAACATCCATAGTTTGCTGAAAAGCGACTTGTAAGGTACTTTTGCACTTGTTGACATTTTGCATTTTGGACCAGAGCGAGTAAGCAGAAAGCCATGGAAGAATTGTATCTGCCGTCTGATCCTGCCAGCTCTGCAGCTGGCCGTAAACGACGGAGCCGCTTTATTATCCTCACCAGCTGAAGACAGGAAGCGAGCAGGAAGTTGTTGAGCGTGCGTTGGCAGTAATGAGGGGTTTCCTTCTGTAAACAACAACAACACGGAGACGGCCGACTCTCTGCCTCCCTCTTGTCTAAAAGCAGAAGAGGGAGGGGAGACCAGAGTCCTGCCTTCAGCTTATAAAGCCAGCGTGTGTTTGCATTACACCTCCGAATATTTGTTTCTGCAAACACCTCCGTGGCTAGGTAACGCCGGGGACTTTGCTATTCATAAATGATTTATGG